AGACTGCTATGATAGCAGTGTGTGCATTTCCGTGCTACATTCGTACGCAGACCCAAGTTCTGACGTACATACATCCTCCTTTACATACACGTCTCATCTTGTGTTCAGTGTTACAGACTGGTCAGGACCGCGAGAGCGCACGCCCTGGGCCGATTGCGTCTCTTTTACTGTAACTGGATTACATATCGGGTTTCTTTTACTTTATAGAATTTACTGATAGTAAATTATTGTGGAAACGTTGTGGCCGAGAAGGAGTTGACAGAATGAGCGGGGACCGAGCGCCAGACACTTGACCAGGAGTGACACAGGAAGCGTGATGCTAAAGATGTGACGCGGTGAATGTTATGTTTCATCTATCCTGTACCTTATACGCATCAGGCCAAACTTCACGCCTTTTAGGTTTAATTTTTCCGATAGGTCCTCCAGCCAATGTACGATACATCATCAAGACCTATTTTCGGTGGTGGTCGTAGACGAGGTTCTTCCATTCACTTGGTCTTCTTTTTATTAATCTTATTCATCATAGCTCCGGCCTCTGGGTGGACGGGGGCAGGGAGTGATCCTATAATAACGTCGCCTTCCGTTAATGACGGTCAAATGATGAATTTTATCGGGAAAGCATCTGTGATGCAGCTGGGAGGCCCCCTCGTGAAACCTTATCACCGCGGAGGGATCATCAGCAACACTCCACCATCCATCATTTTTCTAGTCTTGGCAGTAGTTCTGTATTCCCAAGGCACCACAGCAGCAGAGGAGGAGGAAGAGACGGCCCAACATGGTTCCTTGCAAGAGGCACACGACGCTCCACCCGGTCAGTTTAGACGGGACGGCACCAGCAAGGACAGCAGTCACCATACCTGGCAGCTGTCTCTGTAGAGGTAGAAGTCTCATGTTTAAGGACAGTCTCGGTCCATGGTAATACAGAGGGATGGGCGATTGAATATGGGCCTTCCTCTCAGGCATGGAGGAATCCCCTAAACCCATGGTCATCGCGATAGCCTTCTTCATATCATTCTTCCGGACCCACCGAGGTCTTGTATAGTACCATATGTTAAACGTACCACTCCATCGCTACTTTCGTCGAGGGCATTTTTGTATCGGCCACATCTACCTATATATAGCATAATCTGATAATGTAAATCTCGTATAGACGTCCGAGTATGCTATGCTGCATTCTAACTGGACAGGTTGACGTGGCTTGTCAATTGTGAAGGCCCTCTCGTATTCTGCAAATGTTGGTTCATCTTGGGCTATATCTCTCATCACACATTCCGTCCTTGAGTTCACCTCTTCCCTTCATATCTTCACAGTGGTCATTTTCCATGTCTCGACTACTGCTGCTGCAACATCGAAGCCCCTTCGGACCTTCCTTCTTTCTGATGGTCTCAATCATCGCATGTGTTGCCTTCTCAGTCTCCTCATACGGTACGAGGTCTGAAGCTGTGTCTTTGCCCGTTACCGTTAAAGGGGAGGAGCTCTTCCATTCCACGGTCATTGAACCATACGAGGACTTATTCCCAAAGACCATTCATGCTGTGGTCAGTCAACGCGGATTTGCTATCCGATCACTATCGGATGTTCCTCCTTCCCTCCTACTTCTTTTGGTGTTATCTTTACTATACCTCGGTGGTAATAGTAACGCTGCTGCCGTTGGTCGGGACGATGATGACGCCAACAGGGGCGGTGTCGCAGTAGCATCAACATCATCGTGAAGAAGGATGCCACCCTGTCAGCAGCTCTGGCATGTATGTCGATGTTGGAGTCGGGATGGTTTTGCCTCGACCGTCGAAAGGCAGCGACTGTTAGGTGTACTTCCGAATAGCTATCACCACCACCAATTTCCTACTATCACTACCAATATCCTATGCCACATATTGGTGTTGAGTTATTATTGTATACCACAACAGATCCAACAGCATCATTATAATGCGCCGTAGTGTCGGCCTCTTCACCAGCCTATTTCCTCGTACAGTAAGAATACCCCCATAGCCTGATTATGAGGTCTGGCAGATGCCGCCATCATCAGCCTACTTGGTCTGCACCGATAGAGACTACCCCGTTCTGCCATCCTTCACTCTTAATAATCACAACAATGTGGTCCAGAGGGGATTGCCCTAGAGGATGCCTCAGTCTTCGCACAGAGGTAATTCAGGAAGGAATACTCTAAAGCGATAGTCCACTACTCCAAAAGGCTATACGATGGTTCCTTAGCTCGGGTCCCCATCATTTTCTTCATGCCACAGGTTTATTTGGTGTGCTCCTGCTCCAGGACGTCTATGACGATGTGTGCATCGAGAAACAGGTCTTCACAGAATGGCTATAGTACGATGAAGCTCTTTTCATTTGGTTCCTCTCATCGGGTAAGGACACTTCCAATGCTTTTAGTATACGACAGATCTGAGGATTGGCGGTCTCTGCAGGGGTGGGGGGTGGGGGTATATTCGTTACTCTCGGAATTCTCCTTCCGCGTTTCTCAACCAAAGCTTCGACGGGACTATCGCAGGTCCCATCGCTTCGCTAGCGCCCTACGCCGAGTATTTGCTGTCAGGCTAGCATCTGCGGGGCCTCCCTGGGTGGGTTCATCCCGAACTCCCGTGCACGTCACCTCAGGCTGAGAGGCCTTTTATAGACTCCCTCGATGGAGATGGCAGGGGCTCTCATTGGAGCTCTCGTTCAAGCGGTCGGGGCTCATCTACTGGTAGCGCCCAGGCCCTCGAACGCGGCTCCTCCCGACGTGGTTGGTCATCATAACGATGCCAATTATTCTTGGCATCACATCGGCTATCACCTTCCGGAAAGGCGTCAGAGTCTATCGGGCAGAGTGTCAGAATAGATCGTCGAGTGCCCCGCCTCCTCCTGCAGTCGCCACTCAGGAAAGGAGTAAGAAGTTCCCACTGGAAGACGGATGATACAGCAGATTGTCCCCGATTATATGATGCTGATTCTGATGTGAATGACGGTGAACAGCCAAAAGCCGGGACGAAGGCCCCCTTCTCGGAGTGCGATAGGGAGCTTCATTCGTTATATCCTTATCGCGCCGACCTGTGCAGGACGACCTATGACCGCGGTCATGAGAGCAGTCTTTTGAGGCAGCGGTTAATAGACAGAGATGCCCGGCAGGTAGGGCCGACGATGGTCCTTGCGTCTTATCCATCATCAAGTATCCCATCGATAAACATACCAAGCTGCGCACTGTATGGGCGGCTCTTATTCTACTCCTAGTGCTGCGATGCGGGAAAGGGACTGAGTGAGTCGTGTTTCACCATTCTACTACTCCATAGCCCTCCTATTGGAGGTCCATGATCCCCGATGCCATACCCTACTGTGGGCCAGCCTATTGGGCCCTATCTGCTATAGTGATGACTTGGCTTATACTCTTCGGCCTCTTCACAGGGCGGTCTGTTGTACTCGACACTGCGACCAAGACAGAGGTTGCTTATCCCTTCGTTGGTGGTACTAGGCCCTTCTACCATAACAACGACATTCCCCTCAGCCAGGTGATGTCTTGTGGACCTGCCGAAGTTTTGTCACGTATTCGATAGCTACGTTCGCTGCTGGCATCGTAGCGGGCCTCCTAGGCATCGGAGGCGGTATGATGTTAGGGCCCCTCATGCTCAATCTCGGAGTACTCCCTCAGGCAAGTAATACCCCTATGGGATCTCCCACTGTCCGCCCCGCAGATTTGCACAGCGACAACAGCAACTCTGATTTTGTTCACTTCCTCATCAGCGGCATTGGCCTTCATTATGGCAGGACTCGTCCCATGGAACTACGCTGTAGCCTGAGCCCTCCTATCCCTTCACCAACGATTATCCTGTAGGTTGTGTACTCCTCAGCAGCGTTTATTGGCACTCTGGTTTGTCAGACTATAATCGACTCTATTGTGAAGCAGCATGGTCTAACGTCTCTACTAGTTCTCCTTCTAGCAACGATGATTGCCTTCGCTGCAATCATGGTCACCGTGGCCGGCCTTATTAAGTACTTATAAACCCCTCATACATGATTCAACCCGTCAGATGCAGATATGCTGATCGCGATTGGTATTTCGAAGGTTTTTCATCCTTGTGTTGAATCTTTGCATATCTTGCATATGTGAATGTCGTATCCAGTAAAGCGTGGTTATCTCTTTCGTTTTAGTTCAATTCAACTGACAAGGCGCATGCTACAACTATAAATATATATGCCAGTAATATTGCTAATGAATAAGCATATAAATAATATATCTATATATATTATTCAACACATTATTTTCTATCTTTATTATTAACAACTATGTTATTAATTTCAACACAATGAGGCTTAATGCGCGTGTCTTTGTCAATATAACTACGTATTAACGCAATAGCATGTTTGTAAATACAACGAAACCTATCACTGACGAATTACCCTCAGACAACAATAGTTGGAAATACACAGGAATACGAGGGAGTTGTCAATTAACCAGTGGCAATTGCAACTGGTTTACTCTATTTACAGCTCGTCGGGGCTTAATCCCTGAAAAGGATGCAACTAATGTTTCGTACAAAAACTCATATGAGCTTACCTGCCACCGAGAGTTGGGATCCTCCCGAGAAAGTGTGAGGGAGTTGGTACAGTGTGCTTTGAGAAACCTACACACACAAAAATGGAGGCAAGAGCATACCCGGAAGACTTACTCAGTCATGACAGGTATAGTTCGCTGTTGACGAAATTCCACTGGAGAATCCTTTTTGCCTGATATAAGGACTAGTCGGCCTGAGCGACATCATATGAAGAGCTCACCAGCTGGGTATAGCAGTATAGTCGGGAATCCACTGATCTGCACTGGGACCTCGTTTTGTGTCGCATCTATTTTCACAATTCGCAATCTGATAAGTAGTCCATAATAGCAACAGTGATGCCTCAAATGGAAACCTACGTATTCCTCAAAGGCTTGAGAGTCTCCCCCAGAGATTTATAGGTGGGCTCGAACTGTCTGCAATGACCACACCATGGTGCGTAGAAATCAACAAGGACATCTTGAGGAGAGTCGAGGACGAGCTCTTGGAAGTTGCTACCGACCGCCTGAGGCTGTACACTCACACACAGTGACCGAGCCAAGGACCCACCTGGACGACTGGCTCGTTGCCATAGTAGACGGGCAGGGGTTCTGACCGCTTGTAGGGGTTGATCATCCCTTTGATGTACTGATGGGCGAAGGAGCGGTAATGGTCAGGAGAGGTAACTGAATCGATACGATGCGACCAAGTTACGGTATCGAGGCTCTTACCTGGTGGACATGTCCGTGCACCGTATCCAGCATCAATACGATATTTCCGCGCCTTCACGTCCATGTACTGACGATGTTGATGGGAACGAGTGGAGCGATAAACCAAACGTGTGGTAGGGAAATCCGACGGTTCCAACTAGAGAAATACTCACAAGGTGAATGCCTCAAGATGAGCTTGTTACGTTCTCAAGTGAGAGCTCGTGGAACAGCTGTTGCTGGATGGCGTTGTTCTTATCGCTAGCCAGAGCGAAGACGACTGAACCTGGATGCCCAATATTACAACATGTGCGAGTCCAGACCTGTCGAATGATTTCACAGCAGAACAGGTAAAGTTTGTTCAGTTGACATTCTAAACTTGACCAAAAGACTTTATATATAAAACTTTTTGAGAAGACATGGAATAGGTATGCATAGCAGAGTGATTGATGCTCATTTGAAGGTACTCTGTAGACGATCTCAACGGCGATTGGTGTTACCTCTTAGGGTAGTGCTTGCCTCCCTCAAAGCGGCCTCAGCTTTCTGGCCCACTTCCGACTCAGGGTCACGGAAGAGGAATATCGTAGGCATACCACTCGAGAATATCTACACAACACTACGTCCATCGAATGGTCATGAGTTCGATTCCGGCACTTCGCATTACTTGATCAGCAGTCTCTGCTGAGAGCTCCGTAACCATCGGTACACGACGAGAAAGGATAAACTGATCAACCTGATAGACCCCAAACTCTTCTTCACCAACACTACTGCCGTTTTCCGCGTACCTTGTGATAGTCGCCCATATCACCGTCATAGATCGCGGCCTTCTCGTCGTGGTGATAGAGCATCACCAACGTTGGGAACCTCGTGGGCATCCTCTCGATTTTACTGAACGAGGGGACGTCGAAATAGGGCATACCACACCATTGGAAAATATGTTTGATTCCCCAGCTGAGGCCAGTTGAGTGCGTGACCAAGCGCAACTACGTATTGCAATTACGATCATTTCAAGGGTACGCGTATGCACATTACACAAACGAGGAAGGATGACTATACTCCAACACGGCTGGATATTCAATCGGGGACTCAATGGACGGCCGTTGTCGCAAAAATAAGAAAATCCTAATGCGATGCCTCCCTAAAGATATGTGTACAGAAAAACTATGAAGAATATCCGGCCTGCGATTCGAACCGGAGACCTATCCCGCCCCAAATAGGCGAGCAGACCATCTAAAGTTGAGTAAACACGTGGCACCTAGCGAGGTCCGCCACATCGTCGAGGACATCTAGTCACCAACACCGACAGTTGAGCGCACTATACATACTCCCATTATACCACTACTACCCTTGCTTCACCAAGTATTGGGCCATCTCACGGGAGTTACTACCGTACGTTACGGCGAAGGAAACATCATCGAAATGACGAGAGGTCTTCTTGAACCTGCGACTATCGAACTCCGCACCAATCCGATCCACGATAATACATGTCAGAATCTCTTTCAGAAATGAATAAGCCGACGATTGCCAGAGGGTTCTCGTCCAGGAAAACGTCCATCTCCTCTGCATCAGACACGACTTGCTCTCTATTCGTTCTCTCGTTGATCCAATTTACTATATTAGCCCACCTGTGAAGAGGAGAAAGAAGAGGAGCTGTGACACGAGGACTTATATCCACCCTACGTCCTCTCCTCCTCCAATGGGAACTCGAAGGCTTCCTCGTCTATGAACAATTTTATTGTCGGATTAGCGCGGATCTCGTGCTTCACTCGGACCTGCTTGAATAACAAGGGAGAAAGTCCATATCAACTACGACGATGAGCTATTCCCATATGTCTAGACCCGGGTGGGATGCTGTGAGCACACAGCTGCACATGCGCCCATTATGACGTGCCCTTATGTTGCTCAAGATACCATGAGGATTTCATTCTGATCGCGTTTAATGGGGTTTCTTCCCTTTATGTGAAGTGGCGTAATACTCTGTGAAAAGCGCGATATTCGCGAAGGTATGCAGTAGTCGTGATATATATATTTCACTAGTGTTTTTCACATCACTAGAGCGAAACTCCAATATACATACTCCTCATATACTACTATTTTCCCCGTTTAAAATGATGATAGAGATTCATACAATGTATTTATATTAACCTTTTTGGTGTCCCCCTACGTATACCTATTTTAACTTATACCATATTTATGACTTATGCCAGGCGCACCTTTCCCTCTAGAGAAAATTGCATTTACATGAAATTCGACTATAACATAATTGATGTTATTATAACAACTACTACTACCTCAGGGTACTTGGATGCATCAATTTGCCCTACAGGTATAGGAGGGTTACTCAAGGCCAACTTCTCAGCCACGACCTCCCACATAGGAAGGGCCTACGTACATGCATTACACACTCTAGCAGTAGTCAGCGTGAAAATATATATGCACATGGTCATCTACATATGTTGGTAACAATATGGAAATTCTGAGGAAAGTTTAGGAAATTATCGTTGCTATTTATATACTTCTACCCGAAATCGTATGTGAATTTTCATAATGTAGCAAGTAAGCTTACGAGCTCAGTTGAGGAAACCAAACATATGTTCCCACACTGCTAGTAGTAGTAGTAGTGAACTTACCTGTTGAGAATAGGGGCTCCACGGTGCATAGAAGAGGACAGCACTGATAGTCTCCGTTACTAGGAGCTCATCTAGTGACACTTCGTCCAACTCCGCTACCTCCCCCAGAGCTCTCTGAACCGACACAACATCATGTCCCCTTGAGCCCCTAACTCAGCCCATACCTTCTTGGTCCCAAACCATGGTATTGACCAGGCCTGTACGTCGACTACTACAAGTACCAACAGGAGAAGAAATTGCAGAGCCAGCGAACGCAGCATATTCATAGTAGTAGAAATTCAACTACTCGTAGTATTCTAATCTTGACCCTCCACTGTGACCACTTCCCTTAGTATCACTGATAAACGCGAGGCAAACTGAGTGTGATGAACTTAGCCTGTCAAGGCGTTGAAACAGTAGTCATACAAGGCGGGCAGTAACTGCAGCAACAGGAATGTCGTGATACTCCTACTACTTCTTCTCGGCCTGAAACAACAACAAAGTCGTCTACTTCCGTCGTAGGGAAAACATGCATAATCACGCACGTTGGTGACAATATGGAAATTCTGAGGAAATTTTGGTATATTTCTACCCGTAAACTGCTGAGCTCAGGTGCGAAAAGTGAACATATATCCCTCAACAGTGCTAATGATCCTACCTTCTTGGCCTCATCGGGGTTCTTAGGGATGGGCTTCACATAAGGTAGGAACTCCATACCGTGCATGTAAGGAACCTGATAGAGGCCACAATAACCGAGCAACGACCCCCTTTTAAGATAGCATACCAAAACTCTGGGAACTCTCACGCCCTCTTCCTCCTGGTAGTTCTCAACTATACAGCACATAGCACGCTCAGTAGCACAAAGAGTCGAGTTCAACATATGAACCTGTTAAGGGCGGATACCACACCTTCTTCAACTCCTCTTCCACCTACATATCGCTTCTCGCGCTCGCCCTGCTTCACATGGCCACAACGTGTCTCCATTGCACGAGCCTGATAGTCCGTGCAGTTAGAGCAGGACACGAGTTCCTTGTACATGTTATACCCAGGGAACCATGCCTCGAGATCGTACCTATTACGATGATAACACTGAACAGGTACAGACTATGGGCATCACTTCTTAGCAGCGGCATCGTTGAGAGCACCAGAGACAATCTTGACGACCCTATAGGGCAAATCAAGGGACTGATAGAACTCCTCAGACATGTCTAAAAAGGACCTCTCCATAGTGGCTCAACCGTATTACTATTACCAAGCATATGCTCATGCATAGCAACACTCTCCTCAGGAGTGGTAATACAGAACTGTTCCAACTTCTCAAACTGATGGATACGGTACAAGCCCCAGGTCTCCTTCCCGTGAGAACCCGCCTCCTTTCGGAAACACGTGGAGATACTACACAACCACAAACTACTACTACATGCACCACAATAGACGTCCTCATTACCCAGCATAACGTAGGGGGAGCTGATCCTCGTCAATCCACTCCTTACGGTGGTAGGCCGATATAGGCTGCTCCGAAGTTGCGATGAGATAGTACTCTCCATCGTTCTCCTTAAGGCCCTTCTCCTCCTTTTTCTGCTTGGAGTTCTCACTCACCTATACATCAACTTCGATATCTCACGACTAGACGGCAACACTACCTTGTATAGCTGCTCATCGAAGTCGCCCAGCTCGGCGGTCTCAGCCATGATGTCCTTCTTCATGAAGAAAGGAGGCTGAAGTGCGGTATAACCCCTACGAGGGAAAGGACTCCTTATAGTCACGCAAAAGGATTGTATTACTTCTTAACAAGTAAGCTCATACCGTAGTTAATAAGGGCCATATTAAGGAGTACGCCAACCCCACGGAGGAAGTATCCACGATGACCAACGATGTTGATGCCGCGCTCCTGGTCCATAGCACCGAGCATGTACATGATCTGATGATGGTAGAGGTGACCAGGGGTCTTCCCATCGACGAAAATTTGCCTACAAGGAAAATTTCCCACTGACATAATTTTCATGATAGTAGTACCTAGGCTGACCCCACTTCTTGTAGACTTCGTTGTTATCCTCATCGTTGCTGACAGGGACGTCAGGAAGGATGATATTACCAATAGAGTGCACCGCCTAGACAAGAATACTCTCTTAAACCGTATAGAGCTATTCTGGGTAGTTACAGCATCACGAGACTTGGCGACTTCAGCTACGAGTTTTTCCTGCTCCTGGATTTTCTTCTCACCCTCGGCCTTGCGAGCGAGCTCCTCAGTGCAAGGATCCTTACCCTTAGAGGCCTTCTTCTTCTGAGTGATCTCCTTTTGGATCTGAACATAACGACAATTGGACCTATTCTGCATCTTTCATAGTGATCCTCAAGATACCTTGCCTAGTTCCTCACGGAGCTTGTCCAGTGCGAACATATCCTTACGCCACTGCTGATCGAGTTTCACGGCGGTGCCCACAGTATCAGAATTACGATACCTATAACCCGTCTCGTATAAACCTATCTTCTTTACCACATCACCTCTTCTGCTCGGAAGCTCGGACAGCCTCCGGGTCGCCGCCCTTTTCCGCGCGAAGTCTGTTAACGTCAATCGGCATTGTTAAAGGAACTCTCTATGGGAACTGAGTCAATCGCTCTCTCTAGTCGACCTCATTGACCATACAAATTCCAAATTCCCTCATGAGTAACATCCTCTTTAAAGATTCACTTTCAACGCGACACCCCAACATGACTAATCTTCCTCCAACTAGCCCAGAACCGCTCCACACTATGTACAGTAGCTATAACATCTATTCCTCAAAGTGGCATTCGTGAATCACTTCGCTCCGCTTATGTAATCCGCGCACGCCTCGGAGCGAGATTCATTTTCACTTAAGTGGGCACTGACATGTAGGATGTTTACGGTAACCTTTGTCATGTCAACTTTTGTACGTGGTCTGCCTCACCGCGCCCACGATCCACTTGCGCGGATTGGATTTGACATTGATAAGCTTTATCCTTGTAATGCCCGGCAAAAAAAAGAAACTGTGTAGCTAGTTGGGCCTCGTATAGACGAGACGTTACGTATTCAGAGCCGATCACAGGCTATCAAATGTACCCTTTGAAGCGATTCCCCGTGCTCCCTAATATAGGTAACTGGTTGACGGTCAATTGGTTATTCCCAGATAACTCGTACTTGACGAGTTATCATTAGGCTTAGGTTGTGGTGCTAAGGAGTTACTCCATATCACGATCTCAAAATCTCCCCCTATTATGACACAACAGTGATAACAGTAAAATCTCCTTAATCAGGGCACTAACAAGGAGAAGGTTCATCCAGCGCGCTGGTGCTCCCACTGCAGATAGAACAATTTGCTCAGTGTTCTGTCCACTTATTTCGGTAGTGATTATATTTGATTATTTGACGGTATATTAATTAACGCGACTCCTTTCATTCCTCACCAGGTAGGAGTCTTCCTAAAGGTCTCATATACTCCCACTATCTGCACGGCAAAGTCATCCCATTGTTACCCGCCAACGTTGCTCCGACCACTCAATAACACAAGAGCTGGATGGATGAGCACACGATATATAATCTACATAAACCATTATTGGTTGAGCATCATATACATGAGATATAGCATCATGGAGACGGAGTATAATTCTCACACACACTAGGAGTGCATACTTGATCACCCTGGTGGCAAACGGCGACATGGAGCCACCACTTGCAGTGAGACTTCTCTAAAATCATATCGGGATTTATATCCTCACAGTAAGCGTCGCAATTGGCGTTCTGGCCCATATGGAAGGTATCCGTAGTGGTTGCAGGTGTAGCCTCTCCGACACCACAAACGTCAGGAGTGCACGCCTGGTTACCTCCCTGACACACAGGCTCGGCCGCCCACCATTTGCAATAGGAACCCTCGTCATTGAGACCTTGGCAGTACGTATCACAGGTCGGGGAATGATACTGATGAGGACCGTTGATGAAAGGAGGAGTGCTTGCAGGCGGCCAAGTCTGTGCTGTGCAGATGGAGACGTCACCGCATGGCTGATCACCACCTTGGCAGACAGGAATGTCCATCCACCACTTGCAGTAGGAAGTAACATCGTTCAGACCTTGACACATCTCATCACATCGTGGGTGGAACGTCGTACCAGTCGACACTGCTGGCCCGCATACGTCAAGAGCTCCACAGGGTTGGTTACCACCCTGGCACACAGCATCATCCAACCAGTTCTTACAGAACGACTCGGGACCATTGAGGCCTCGGCAATAAACGTCACAAGTACGCATCACCACATCCTCGCTGACCGTAGTAGTAGCCGGTGTAGTCACCGCAGTAGTGACGGTTGTTGAGGATGCGGGAGTGACAGTGCTACTGCCGATTGTAGCTGGAGCAGTGGTAGACTGTCCAGTAGTAGTGACGACCGTTGAAGGGATAGAAGTAGTAGTGCTACTGCCGACAGTCGCTGGATTGGTGGTAGACTGACCACCAGCAGGGGTGAAGATCAGAACTCCGCACAGAGCTGAGAAAAGGAGGGAAGACATGCTGTGGATATGCAAAATGCAAGCTGTAACCACCGCGCGTTCAGTGTGTTATCATGGTTGTCGTTCAGTCATCAGATAGGAATTCATCAGAGTCTTATGGTTGAAGTTCAACCGTTGAACGTTTCGCAGTGACCGAAACTGGAAGATTCCCGAAAGATTCGTCGGCGAGCGCGGCGCTCAGATGCTTTTACGCACCGCATTAGAAATCAAGACGATAAGTATCGCTTTCTTGATGGGGGCCACTCTACGGTGTGGGATCTCACACGTCGAGTCCCATTGATGGATACGTCAGCCTCCATTGTCGTCGCATCCCATAGACGGTTTGCAGTTCGATCGAAAGCTCACGAGCGAACATGGAGTCGTTCAAAAAGACTTTTTGATCAAACCTTATTTCTGTAGTCGATAGAATGGATGAGTTGCCTTTATGCTCAATACATTATCGTGTAAATACCATTGTAAGATGCTGTTGAGCTCTACGATGAGTTCCCATCGACCGTCGATGGCCTACCCCACCAACCCACTATACACGCGTAACACATTCAACCAGGGTGTAAGAAGCTGCCACCTTCACCGTGAGTACGATCAATAGACACTGCAGTCGGTACTCGACGACAAAGGGATCGCAAGTACTGGATTACAGTCATACATGTGCTATGTCATGTCTACTAGCCTTGCCACAGTACGAAACTACCACGTACACGGCTGACCTCAGCCATAGAAATGCAGTACGCTCTAGTAACAATATCCAATACCCCTACTAGTCCCCCAAAGCCTTCCATACCTCTACTACAACAGACTGCTCAACCCAAGCACACGAGAGAGGCTATCGTAGGGAAACTGTTGGCAGGTGTGCGTTCCACCACTAGCAGCAAGTTAAGTAATATTTACACTGATCGTGAACCTCGTAAATTTGATGAGCTACTGAGGACTTAGGAAATCTCGCAATCGGCAAGGCTAGGAGTGGTGACGATCTCACCGTTCGGGAGCGTAAACGCATTGCCCTAAAAAGGCGACGATGCCGGTCAGCCGACAGAGGAACATTTAGACTCACCTTGTAAGTGGCCACGATCACACCATTCTCCTTCTTAACAGTCTTCAAGTCACCTGACCAACCGCGTTGAGGAAATGCAAGATAGCAAGATTGGCTTACCCTTGACCGCATCGAAAGGGTTGTGCTTAGGATGCAGGACATCATCAGGCTCACCGTCAAAGCCCGGGATCGAGATGCGCTCACCTGATCATAACGAATCCACATCGTCGCATAGAGCAGAACCACGCTTACCGGGCTTAGCATCCTCAGGGACTGTCAACACTTCCACTTGGCTGTGGTCACCACTAGATGCGCACATGACCATACCATGGGAGACGAATCCACGCAGAGGACGGGGCTTGAGGTTAGCCAAGATGACTACTTTACGACCCTCGAGATCCGAGGCTTCCTTATAGAAATCACGAAGGCCTGATGCGATCTGACGGGGACCTGATAGTAATGACAACAAACAGTCTTAAAGGTCATCAAGGATTGAAAACGCCCGGCGGACAATTTCAGAGATGGATGGTATGTGGGCCACTGCTTGATTCGATTTATGTGAATTTGTATAAGTCGTTCGGCCGACACTCACCGGAAGCTTCACCACAGTCGATCTCCTCACACCACAGCTTCTCAGCATCAGGATGTTCCCATACCTTATTGATCTTACCTGAGAGCACAGCGTAACGATAGACCTACGGTTCAATTCCACCCGAGGGCATTTCTTACCAACAATCATATTCAATCGGCTAACATCCTCTACAGGTCGGGTCTCCTTCTGTGCCTTAGCTTGCTTATCCTTATTCTTCGCCTTCCTCTCCGCCTTCTTCTTCCCAGCCTCATCAGCCTCTCCTGAAACCAGTGTAGGCATATACATCTGGTCCTCTCAGGAGTTTCCACACATAATCATTATAAAACAAAGTTTTCCTAATATTTCCTCATTATCATCTTATCAATGGTCAACTACGCCTAGAGATAACATCTGGCCCTCTTCATACATTCCATCATCACATGAACAGATGCTTACCCTTCTTAGGTGAGCCCTTGCCCCCCTTGCCCCCAGCAGCAGTAGCGTCGGCCTTATGAAGATTAGTATAAGCCCGCGTCACCGCATGGAGGTCTATAACACTGTTGGGGTAAGGGCTGCCCGGCAAACTACTGATATGGTGATACCACCTGCCCCAAAAAACTAAAACACGTGCCAGAATCCAATACCATCATCACCTAGTGATGTTGCAGTACTGAGCAAGCTCCTTCTGTGAGGCCTTAGAGGCCCATCGCTCGGCCGCATGAGCTACTACAAAGTCAGCGAGCGTGATATTGCTACCACCGAGCAAGAATGCCTAAACGGTAGCAAATAATGACTTACCCCGACCTTCAAGCCAGCGGGGCCTACCCGGTCCTCGAGGGCCTTATTGAGCTTCTCCACACCTTCCTTGGTGAGCTTGAATGCCCCCTCGCTCTCATTGAGGCACCACTCAACCCACTTGAGGGCCTCGCTGCCCTCAGGGATCAGAAGGGCCCCAAAACCAGAGTCCTCAGCAATTGCCTTCAAAACCTGAGCCCAGCACAGAGGCACCACACTGTATTAGGCATGTCGACTTACCTTCAGGGCGCCCTCAAAAGACTCCTCCCTTTTCTGACTGGCATATACCGGTAGTCGTTGACCAAATGCGGCAGAAAGGACCGAGTTACCCGGCTTAGTGCTAGCACGAATTGTACTACCCGTAAAACTGGAAGCCTGATTCACACAGTGCTCAACGTTATAATGTACAAAGGGCATGCATGCCGAGGACAACCCGGGTTCAATTCTCGGCGACTGCAACTCACCTTGCCGGAAACAGCCCTTAGATAGACAATGAGCTTCTCACAAACATCACAAGTCGCCGAATCATTGACAAATAAGTCATATGCCGATTCAGTAGCAGTAGTAGTATTATCAGCACACATCAGGAAACAACAACAGCAACAGCAACTGCACAGAGGGACCCTCAGCCCAGCCTTTCCGAACAAATACGACCTCCTACGGTGAGAATAACATTAAATGCTTTTAGCCTATGAATCAAACTCCTAGTAGTGATAGTAATAGATGAGATTTTCAGCAGTACTCGACAAGGTACTTTCTTCCCAATAACCGTCGCCTTCATGTAGAGGCCGCAAGAAGCCTTTTAGCTCTAATACAGATATTTTCAGCCGTGAACCCAAAATGTGCCTTCACCTTATTGGCAGGCCCAGAAGCCCCAAAGGTAGTCATGGCGATCCACTCATCAGCATACCTTTCGAACCCCAAAGGGCTGCTGGCCTCAACCATCAGGCGTTTTACCCCCTGTGGAAGGACAGTCTTCTTATAGGCTTCCCCTTGCTTTTCGAAGAGGTTCCATGACGGCATCGACACAACTCGGGCATCAACACCTTCCTCCTTCAAAAGTTTCTTAGCTTCCACTGCCTGCAGGACCTCCGTGCCACTAGCGATGATGATGACCTTCTGGTCACTGCTGCCCGTGAAATCATCTATCACATAGGCACCCTTCATAGCCCCCTCAGCAGAGGAATTCTCAAAGGTAGGCAAACCAGAGCGGCTGAGAATAAGCGTAGTCGGCCCGTTCTTATTAGCAAGATAGGATTTGTAAGCCCCCACAGTCTCGCGACCATCACATGGTCTGATCGTACTCATATTGGGCGTAGCACGCAGCAGGGCCAGGATCTCGATAGGCTGATGGGTAGGGCCATCCTCCCCAAGGTCAATCGAATCATGAGTCATAACATAGAGGACCTGTTGTTCCGACAAGCACGAGAGCCTCATACCACCCCAACAGTAACCTATAAAGTTGACAAAGGTAGCCCCAAAGGGTAGGAAGCCCCCATAGGCGTGAATGCCATTGAGCATAGCGGCCATGCCGTGCTCGCGGACCCCAAACTCAATGTAGCGGTTCTGCATAGCCCCACGTTGCATACTAGGGAAGTTACCCATGTTGGTCATGTTAGAGGAGGTCAGGTCCGCCGAGCCCCCAATGATCTCCGGAAGGTGCTTCATGAGGGCAGCGAGGACCTCCCCACTGGTCACACGTGTGGCCTTGGCCTTGTCCCCAGGTTGGTACTTCGGGAAGAAGCTGTCCACATCGTGAGGAAGGTCACCCTTAGCACGCCTTATAAGCTCCGCATGCTCAGCAGGATATGCCTGACCGTACTTGGCAAATAGGGCATCCCACTCCTTATTAGCCTGCTGGCCACGAGCCAAGACGGCCCCATAGAATGCCCTAACCTCAGTGGGGATCTCGAAGAACTTCTCAGGGTCGAAGCCGAACTCCTTCTTAACATTGGCCAGGTCTTCATCACCCAGAGGGGCTCCATGGACCTTAGCAGTGCCCTGCTTAGCCGAGCCGTATCCGATGGTTGTATGGACCTTGATAATAGTAGGCTTATCCGTACACTTCTTGGCTTCCTCAATCTTGGCTATTATATCAGCCACATCGCTATCACCCTCAGCGACCTCAAGGACCTGCCAGTGCATGCCCTCGAACCTTTTAGTGACATCCTCTGTAAAGGCAATATCAGTCCTACCATCAATAGTAATCTTATTATCATCATAGAGTACAATGAGGCGCCCAAGCCCCAGATGACCAGCAAGTGCACAGGCTTCCGAGCTGACCCCTTCCTCCAAACACCCATCACCACACACAGCAAAAGTGTAGTTGTTGAAGACCTCGTACCCGTCAGGGCGGTTATAAGTCGCCGCTAGATGAGCCCCAGCTATAGCAAGGCCAACAGCATTCGAGATGCCCTGCCCCAAAGGGCCAGTACTGACCTCCACCCCCTCCAACAAATGTCGCTCAGGATGACCAGCCGTCCTCGAGCCCAACTGACGGAAGTTCTTAAGGTGCTCCACCTCGACATCCTTGTAACCGGCAAGGTGCATAAGGACGTACTGCAGAGCACAGGCGTGGCCGTTAGACAGGACGAATCGATCCCTATTCCACCAATGAGGGTTGCTGGCGTTGTACTTCATAACGTGACCGTAGAGGGCATGGCCAATGGGGGCACATCCCATCGGGGCACCCGGATGGCCCGACTTCGCCTTCTGAACCATATCAGCCGCCGTAATCCTAATAAAAGACAATCATACCACTCCTTCACCAATTCCTCTCTCACCTGATGGTATCAATAGCCAACTCTTCTATTTGTTTGGGCATCACCTTAGCTTTCTTATTAGCTGGTTCGGTGGAAGTGGCCATAGGGACTGCTAGCACTTACCATAATTTCGCCCCCTCAACACCAGACTACCAACTCCAAGGAAACAACAGTGTACATCTACTAAGACATCTCTATCTACTATTGACGTTAGGGTATCCCTTATCAGGAACCCCGTAGTAGGAAGGCAAAGGCGCGTCCCTCATCGCCGTCTAAGCTTCCGCAGTGCTTGCTTATTGCTCAGTTTCAAACTAGTCATCAACTTCTTGTGTACCGGCACCTAGGAGGTAAACGAAAGTCGATTCCCGAACAAGACCAGAAAATGCAATCAACGATTCCGATATAAACAGGAATATTTACACAGAGAAGGAGCACGCTGGAACAGCCCCTTTGAAAATAAATTCAACAGCGACTTCATGTAGTAGTTGGGAATACCCTCTCGAGAGAAAATCTACAGAATTTCCATTTTTTCACCGATAATTTTTACTTTCTACCCATCTAGTTGATATTCTACGCGCGTCCTTGGTTAAACTAACCTCCTAAACTTTCAAGTAGACCGGGTATAACATCAGCATTCATGGGAGATTTTATTAAAACCATAGATAAAGTATTAACCACGAGGGTAAAGAATTCAACTACAAAGGTGAAGAGCCGAAATTGCCGGGGAATACCCTACAGGTACAAAACCAAGACTCTTACCATTTTGAAAGCCATCAGCGTCCGGTGTCTACTCCTATGGGCATCAAGACATTCTTCCTTATTACAATACCTAATGCAGCATCCACATACACCAATACCACACCATCCCCAACATTACGCTATCTCACAAGTAACACGGCATCTGACCTGAGCCTTCCTGCCACAATGGGAACCTGTAGACCGCTACGTCCCATACCAGTACAGGTTTACCCGTGATATGAAAAACACTAGTGAAAAACATATTCCTACATACCGCAACTATCGGGCTGTTCTCACAAGAGTATTCACGCCAATTCACGTAAAACGGGTTGCGAAATTTGACTGAAAATTTCACCCACATGCAACAGCCGGTAAGGCGTTCTCCCCTTTATCGTCATCCTTATTCGACCTTCTTTTCCATATAGTCATCTCATAGCTGGTGCCTGATAACGTACCCTACCACTCCAATGGGAATAATAACCAATAGTCCCACTGGGCCAGTTCGGTAGCGGTTCCCTTCTGATCATCCTAAACCCTTGACCAAGGGCCTTCTGCATCGCTAGCGTCCCCGTGTCACCAAACCACTCCCCAATATGATACACATAGTCCCCCTTGAAGTTACCAATCTGACAGTCCAGTATCACCACCAACAGTCCAGTCCGTCACCGCCTCCTACCGCCTCAGCCGCCATATGCTCCTGAGGTGGCGGGTAGCACAGCATGAGCTTAGGGTACTCCTCTGCTGACAACGACTGCAGATCCGCGGCGTTCTGGCAAAACAACCCCAAATATCAACCACGACAGAGCGGGCGACTTACACCTTCTTCACTTCAGTGTGTGGTCTGCATCGGCCATGGTAAGCATTGGCTTGGTGATCCGGTGGGTTCTTATCCAAGGCCAATACTTTCACCTTACGAAAAGGATCATACCATCTCAACCGCAACAAGACGCCTCACATTTCGATCCCTCAACAGCTTGGCCCAATACCCGGTACCACTGCCGACCTCAACGACCCCACCTGGAACAAAGCTCGACAGGAGCTCTAGAGCAGACTCCGTAGGTGTTGCATAGGCGTATCTATTTTTTCATTCGCTAGCGGAGCGAAGCTGGCTTTATTACATATGGCACATATAGTCTCTCGTCGAATCGACCCAGTCCGAGAGAATCTGAGCTGATGATGGGCATAGCCATGAATACCCCATTCCATTACCTTGCTAGGCATCAGCGGATCCCCCTGCTTCAACGTCTGTGTCTCGTCCGCCCTGGTGCCCATCCCACATGGTACCTACACCGCCACTCCAAGCAAGCACCTCATGGACCTCTCACCAGGGCATCCCACGTATCCACTTTGCCTCCCTCTAGTAGGGCATGCGATACACGCTGAGACTCTACCCAGCGGATACACTGTATGGAGTAAAGTGGGTTCCTACAGGCAGTAGTGTCGAAGGAGGGACCATCGAGGATACCTAAAACATCGACACTTACTAACCGCCAACAACAACAACAAAAGTCGAATATACGACCAGTTTGAAAATTCAACTCGAACATCGGGAAAAAGTGGAAAAATATGCACATGGTCAACTACATGTGTTGATGACAATATAAAAATTCTGAGGAAATTTTGGAGGAATTCCCATTGGTTTTTCTATACTTCTAGCTCCATAATCAGCGAGAAAACTCCTGAGCTCAGCTGAGGAAGGCGAACATCTATTCCTCCAACACTGGCGAACCCCTCCAAAACGAATATATTCTCGACATTCCCAAAGTGAATATTCAAATTCACAACTATGATCACCACTTACGGGTAGCTTCCTCAATAATGCTTCGCTCCGCCTCCCCCAGGTGCCTTCGTTTTTTCTCATCCCATCCACCCAATACCGAGCCCACCTTCTCCTGCCTGTCAACATCTTCCTCGGCCAGAAGACACCACACAGAGTAATACTCCAACGGCGGCGGCAAGGCCAAGGACGACCCCCCAGAGGGAACCCTATGGCCGTGCTCAAACGACTAACACACAACAACTTCATATCAACTCTTTCCAATACCCCACCCTTACCATCGTGCACATATAGTACATCCAGAAGTACGCTCCATCGAGATTCATAGCGACTTCAATAGACTTCTTCACACACTCCATGTCAACACCCTGTTCCTCCTCCTCCTCTGCCCCTTCGGGCCGCTCTCTCTTAGCCGGTATCTCCTCCAGAGGCCCCAAGGCTTCCTTAACGGCACTCATGAGCCGCGGCTTAGAGTTCGCTGAATCAAACCAGCATCAGATTGCACGCATGAACACATCATACTGTCGGGCAAATCTTCAACTTGCCGGGACACCTCGGTCAGTTGCCGTTTGACTTCCTCCAGAATCTTGTGCGTATCTTTTCCCTTCACCAGCTCCCCCAACGCCAAGGCCATCACCGTCACCCGAGCGTTCCTCAGTCGACAGAAAATCGATAAGAATTGCTCGACATTCCCAGGCCGCTGAGAAATAAATAATTACCACATCGATGCGCTCACCAGGGATCGAACCGGGGACCTCCTACCGGTCTCATACTTCCCCTAACCCCAATCTTATGCCTCGCCAATAAGCTGCCACACCCGTGACAATAACGAGACCTCATCCCAACGACATACTCGGTAGTCGTAGCGCAGGCTGTTGCCGAGAGATGAGGCATTAGACCAGTGAACTGCACATAAAAAAGTGCATCGCTCCGCTAAGAAAGATTCCCATGCCTACCTCGAAGAGCCCACCGCCTTCATTAGGATTAGGCTTAGCTGTCGCCGTTAACTCCTTCCAGTTGGTCCTCGCCTTCTTAGCCGGCCGTACTTCTTCAGCATCTTCAACTGCCTCCACTGGGGGGACCTCATCGGAATCGTCCATTGGAGAGACAGGGGACACAAGTCAAACTTAGTATCAATATAATATACCCCGACGATTCTGATGAAAGAAGGGAAAAATGCCCACCATCCAAAAAGCGTTTATATACGGCAAATCCATCGCAACTATACAGGCAACTTTTTCTCGGTGAAGGGTGAACAGACGTTAGGAAGACTACACTGACGCCCGATCTGACGTCCACCCAACAGCTACCATTAGCATCGACTATAAGAGGCACGCAGGCTACATGGAGACAGGTGTATCCAACAAGGACTCATGAAAATACTCATCATGATGATATTGGTCGGCAATGGCCTGCCACAGTTCGAACCCAGGACTAGGAAAGTCATCGTCTATGCTTTCAACCAAGTCATGCCTTCCCTTTTTCTCCAGCCATCTCGGCAGATCATTGTTCATTCGGCTCATGGCGCCGCCACTCCATAGTCGTCCCCTGGCATAGGTTTGTGGATTAGCAGAGTAGACTACAAGACTAATCCTCCTTCACAGCCAGCTGTGCTAACGACGGAGAGTATCTTTATTGAAGCCATTCCTGTGCCGCGAACATGATGGGGTCGCAGGCCAAGGGATCAGAAACCTAGTACTACCCCCAAGACCGCTCAAAGACGACCAAATCAAATCACCTATCCGTGAGATCCACTACCAGGTGAGACCACAAGAAACCTCCAACACCACCCCTGATGGACTGCCACTAAACATAGTACTAGTACTACGGGCAGAGTAAACGACACTTCGTTGTAGATGCCCAAGGGACAGGCCTCCGAGGAGCCCACACTATGACCCCTCGAGGGCATTGCTGATGTTGAACGATAGGGCTTGTACGAACAACCTTGGGCCGTAGGCTATCATCCATCGACTGCCCAATCCCTTTTCCTTCATATTAGGGCATCGGACAGAAGGAGGGGATTAGAGCATTTCCACCGACTGCAAACATCATCCGCGCTGCTGTGGGTACTCATTAGAATCTCGATACCCCTTCCGGACAGAAAAAAAACCAAGTATATGCAAGGATAACGCGGTTTAATCGCATAATTCGCGAGTTTTTATATCGATTAGAATGGCGAGCGCGGTTGTCGATTTATGACAACTGACGTAATCAAGCTGGGAAAACAAACGACGCAGTTTCCGGAGGGAAAGCATTCGAATATGTCCAGGAGGCGGCCGCAATAGGACGGCTTCTCCATGTTCGACTAAAATCGGCCGAATTAGTTTTAGAGGAGGAAACGTCCGAGAGCAGAGGTAAGGGGGAGACTGAGAAAGATACATAGGAAAAAGGCTCGTATGCATCCAGTGTCTGCTTAGCAATGGCCGCCTGTACTCCCGACCGCGCGCCACGAAACTATCTGTCCGCTCATGTTTGGTGGGTGTTGTGTTTGAGTACCTCAAAAGTCTGAGCCTAACAGCAAACTCCCTAGGGTCAAGTTGTAATTTTGTTATTGTTTAAGAGCTGATGTCTTCGCCAACTACCGCCCCTCCTACTGACGATGAGATAACAGCGATATCCTACGAGACCGAGGATGTAGGATCGGTCATATCCAGCTCAAAGACCAAGTACTACTGTCACTATCAACAGTCACCTCTACGCCTGTTATACAGGTACACTTGGCGATTCGAGATCGGCGGACAGGTAGTAGTAGTAGTAGTAGTAGTAGTAGTAGTAGTAGTAGTAGTAGTAGTAGTAGTAGTAGTAGTAGTAGTAGTAGTAGTAGTAGTAGTAGTAGTAGTAGTAGTAGTAGTAGTAGTAGTAGTAGTAGTAGTAGTAGTAGTAGTAGTAGTAATAGTAGTAGTGGTAGTAGTAGTAGTAGTAGTAGTAGTAGTAGTAGTAGTAGCAGTAGTAGTAGTAGTAGTAGTAGTAGTAGTAGTAGTAGTAGTAGTAGTAGTAGCAGTAGTAGTAGTAGTAGTAGTAGTAGTAGTAGTAGTAGTAGTAGTAGTAGTAGTAGTAGTAGTAGGAGTAGTAGTAGTAGTAGTAGTAGAAGTAGTAGTAGTAGTAGTAGTAGTAGTAGTAGTAGTAGTAGTAGTAGTAGCAGTAGTAGTAGTAGTAGTAGTAGTAGTAGGAGTAGTAGTAGTAGTAGTAGCAGTAGTAGTAGTAGTACTAGTAGTATTAACCTAACCCCCTTCAGAGCTACTTAGTGAATCTCTTCGTCTCGTGGCGCAGTGACAAATACCGTGTCGTTTTGAATGGTTACGAACAGACCATGCAAGTTCAAAAGTCGGGCAAGTTCAGGTAGTAGCCTCTGAGCCCTCTGTCAATAACCATTACTAACAACTGCTATGCAGTTACGCTTTCAAATTCCAAGGGCATTATTTCAAAGTAGTCCCATCGAGATATCCAGACAGATGGGATTTGCTCATCGACACCGTGCCCTTCTACGCCTATACGGCTCGAGGGAAGCGGGAGCAGGCTATTCGGCTTAGACAGTAGCAGATCTAGGGTAGTGCTGTGGAGTTAGCACGGGTGTAAAGGTACTATGAGAGACGAATTGCTGAGAAGAGACAGGCCAATGAGACGGATGACGATGAGTAAGACTCGTACCACACTTCCTGGAACTCATCCTGAAATGATGCATGAGAGTGTCTGGGTAGGTATCGAGAGATGCAGAAACAAGTAGCATTGCTTCGAGCGCAAGATGGAGAGGATGATAGCTCTTCGGAAGAGGAGGAATCTGTAGGTTCAAGTTGGTTGGATACAAAATAGGTTCGACCGAGGAACACTTTTTCAGAGCGAGGATGAGAATCCTCAAGTTCCGCCCCCTACCGATCTGGCATCTCGCATAGGCCACCGTAACGACTACAAGCAGCAGATGGATGCCGCTGAGAACGCGTTTTATAGTACTCAAATGCCGACCTTCCCGGACGATCCCTCGACTGGTGGACCACAGCAAGCCTCGGCGGCCCCGCCGGACATGATCTCTTTCGACAGTCCTGACGTGTGGGGACCAGCTGCTGCTGGTGTAGCGGTGGCTGGGATGGCTGCTGCACAGTATGGGAGCAACGAGGCCCATGGGGGTCGGCAGGCAGATGGCAATGGTGATAATGTGAATCCTTTCGCGATGGGGACCACGCCTGGGGGAGGCCAGCAGGCTACTGCTGGCAGTGCATTCGAGGCCTTTGATGCACTCACACCACCAGGGGGAGATCAGACACTACCACAAGGGTATATCCCTCCACCTTTGGGAGTGCAGGGTACTACTCAACAGGCTTGGTCGACAGGGCCGCAACAGCAGTACTATTATGATTATTATCACCAACAACAGCCTACAGTACCTGTGCAAGGACAACAACAGCAGCAGCAGTACCCTATGACTGTACAGGGAGTACCGCAGCAGCACCAACAGCAGCAGCAGTCTCCTATGACTGTACAGGGAGTACCGCAGCACCAACAGCAGCAGTACCCTATGACTGTACAGGGAGTCCCGCAGCAGCAGCAGTACCCTACGACTGTACAGGGAGTACCGCAGCAGCACCAACAGCAGCAGCAGTCTCCTATGACTGTACAGGGAGTACCGCAGCAGCACCAACAGCAGCAGCAGTCTCCTATGACTGTACAGGGAGTACCGCAGCAGCACCAACAGCAACAGCAGTCTCCTATGACTGTACAGGGAGTACCGCAGCACCAACAGCAGCAGTACCCTATGACTGTACAGGGAGTACCGCAGCAGCACCAACAGCAGCAGCAGTACCCTACGACTGTACAGGGAGTACCGCAGCAGCACCAACAGCAGCAGCAGTCTCCTATGACTGTACAGGGAGTACCGCAGCACCAACAGCAGCAGTACCCTATGACTGTACAGGGAGTACCGCAGCAGCACCAACAGCAGCAGCAGTACCCTACGACTGTACAGGGAGTACCGCAGCAGCACCAACAGCAGCAGCAGTCTCCTATGACTGTACAAGGGGAAGCAATAGACCATCAGTCCTCTCCTATATCTGTACACGATGCCCCACAGCAGCAGCAACAGCCTTCTCCTATATCGGTACAACACGCACCAGCACAAGAGCATTTCATCACTAGTATACCGCCACAACAGGTGGCTCCATCACCTATAGGCTCACAACGTGTGATGCGATCATCCTATATGGTCCCTGGAGCACAGACTGATCTACAGCAACAGCAGCACCATGCCCCTGTGGTAGCTGCATCGGTCTCGTCGGTCCGTCCCAGTAGCAGCCAACAGGCTACTGTTATACAGGGCTCTCCCGTGGCCCCGCAAACATCTAGTGCAGTCTCCTCTTCCTCCTCCTCCTCCTCGACTACTGTGGTCCCAGGCGTTCCAGCTACTACCACTTCTAGTGTCATCTCATCGCAGTCGGCTCCCTATAGCCAGTACGGCAGTCAGTCGATGCCTCAACAACAGCAGTGGCCGTCGGAGGCCAGTGGGAGCTACTACTATTACGGCACAGCTACGAGTGCTACGGATGCCAAAGTGCAGCAGCAAGGGAGGTAGTAGCATATGCGATTTGGCGGAAGTGTGGTATGGCTCGCGTGTCTTGTTAGCTCCCCTGTCGCTCCGGCTCATGCGGTGGCAGAACAGAAGCGATAAGAGTAGTTTGTTTTGATGGAAATGTATTTATCATAGCGGAGCGTTGTCATCATCATTCGTCGTCGTTTTCCGAGTTTCTTCTGACGATCCGACTGCGTTAGTGAGAGGGTCCTCAATGTTTCCCTTTCAAGTTGGTTACAATTCTGTACAGAAGCATAAGTCTACTATCCAATGAGCCCTATTCCGACTACGAAAAATCCCGATGACTATGATCGCCGAGTGGGAGTGGCAGCCTCTACGCTGAGTGATGAAGTGGAAGATGCTTCGGACGTTCCTACTATTTCCCCGTTCATCCAGTCGCCGAGGTCGGAGTCCATGGCCATGTCCTCAGCTGAGGCACCCTCGACAGCTGATGTCGTTGCTGCCTGTGCTGTGGCTGCGGCTGAGGAGAGCCGAACGGGACAGAAGGTGTGTGCAGAAGATGTGTTGGCCTACTTTAGGCGTTATGACCTGGAGAACTTGCTTACTATGATGCTCATCGAGTTGGGCGCTCACACCCCTCGGGATCCTGCTCAGTTCATGTGTGACTACATTCGAGCTAATCTCCCATCGGAGCGGTATGGTGCAGTTGAGGACAATGATGATGCTAACAGTTGCCACCAGGCTGGTGAGTTCATGCATCATGATGATGATGACGAGGAGGAGGAGGACCTGGTCCCTCCAGCTCCCCCACCACAGTTGGCTATCTCCAGGCATGTGTCCCATCGTTTGAGCCACGACCTTACTAGTACTGCTATAAGGAGCATTGTACTGCGACGGGTGTCCAGACAGTTGGAGAAGGAGAACCCCAGTGTGCACGCGTTCGTTCAGCAGTGGATGCGGCCTGGCATGGGAGGCGGCCGAGGCAGCAGCACCAGTAGTGGTAGAGGGTCGATCAGCGGTGCCTCGAGACGAGCCAGTGACTCGGTGGCTTACCACGAAGCGAGGCTCACTGCTAAGATGTTGGAAGTACCCGTAATGGAGGCTTTAGAGCTGCCAGATTTGCTCAGCTGGAAGACCAAGCTCTTCACCTTGGACCGCTCTGAGCTGGTCCGGCGAGCCTACAGTGTATTCGACAGGTGGAGTTTCGTGGGGGAGGGTAAACTGGTGGAAGCATCGAGGCTTTGGGGGTTCATCAATCTCATCGCCAACGATTATCATGCGGATAATCCTTACCACAACTTCTACCACGCCTATCAGGTTATGAGCTGTGTGGGTTACGTTATGTTCAATGCGGGGTGCTCAGTGCACCCGGGCGGCCCTGCAGGGGGGCCTCGGGACGTCATCTGTACGCCCCTAGAGGAGTTCAGTCTGCTTATCGCTGCACTATGTCATGATGTTAACCATCCGGGATTCAACAATGATTACTTCATCAAGGGTAGGAAGCACCTGGCTGTTCGCTACAACGACAGTGCTGTGTTGGAGAATATGCATGCGGCTCGAGCCTTTGAGCTCCTACTGGGTGGCGCTGTTGACTTTACTGCAACTTGGCCAGCAGCAGCAGCAGCTGATGAGACTGGCGAGCCCAGCGACTATGAGGTTTTCCGACAGACGGTGATCTCGGTGATTCTGGCGACGGACATGAAGGCTCACTTTGATATTACTATTAAACTACAGGAGTTACTCTTAGACCGCAATGACGGTTCTAAGAGGGCAGCAGGAGAGTGGGTCGATGGGGCTTTGGCTGAGACTAGGCCGACGCTGCTGAAGGGGATTGTTCATGCTGCGGATATATCAAACCCCCTTATGCCCTATGATGAATACTACGAGTGGAGCTATCGTGTTGTGAGCGAGTACTATCACCAGGCGGAAGCTGAGAGGCTCGAGGGGCTTCCCTTCGCGCCGTTTATGGCCCATCGCCCGGATGACGCTGTGGAGCTTGCTAAACTGCAAGTGGGGTTCATCAACTTCGTAGTGAGTCCCCTGTGGAATACTCTGGATGGTCTACTGGAGGGTCTGCATGATAGAGTTGAAGTGATGGAGATTAACCTGCAGCGTATGAAGGACGTCGAAGACCGAGAGCAGGGACGACGGGATTCCTGTGCTGGCCATGCTCAAGTAGATGATATCACCTCTGAAGAGGATGCACAGTGTGCCGCTGTTGTTGCTGACTGACGCTGCCTCCAAGATCTTCATATAGTGTCTGGTTTAGTCCTCCTATTAAAAAGTAGGAGCGTCAGTCTTATCCCTTCGTCCATCTATCAGCGTTAATCCCCGCCTGAGTCTACATTGACTCTTGTTGCAGCAGGGCTGAAGCTATGAATAGCAAGTGATTAGTTTACTACTCGCCACCGTCAAGGAGGTTATCATTGCTTTCCTCATCGACACTGTCATCATTATCATCATATCAGTTCTATGTGGCTCGCACTTCTCCCCCGCTTGCCTCTATCGGTGTTGGTAGTCTCGGTGTGTTCTCTACCCGGTGACACCCTTCTTCTTATACTATAGTAGTGTCACCATGGTGTTATGGATAGTTCGATTGTAGTAGTCATATAGTGGCTTAGCCTGCTTCTTCTTCGTAGTACTAGTAGCCTATGTATTCACCAGAGCCCCTCCACCTCTTACTACTGGCTCAACGTAATTATGTTGTATTTCTGTCTAGTCCCCCCCCCTCTCTGGAAATCATCATAGTAGTATTGTGATGAACTCATTATACTTCCTCATCAATTCTGTTATTGTTATTGCCCGTCGTCGTTGTCGTCTGCTGCTGCAGTCAGCTCTACCGATGATGAGTACTGATTCCTATCGAAGTTATCACCGGTATCAAACATTAGGAATATCACTATTCGCTTGCCTGAGTCCTCGTGCTACTACTTGTTACTGTTATTATCATTGCTTGTCTTCATACTGATGTTGTTACTGACCTTCCATTACCTCTGCTATCATCCATAGTCGTTGTCGGCGATCGTGTAGTGGATGTTCCTCATTATTACTCACCCGTAATCGACGAGGAACCGTGAGAGCACATCAGTGGCTTGTGTTATAACAACGCTTACTTCTCTTAGTGGTTAGTCTTATGAATCAGACCCCTGCCTCGACGGGGTCGTCACCTCCGGCCAATGGCCAGGGCGCCGCAGTGCCAGGTGAGTCTAGGTGCTAAGAGGGTGTCTGCAAGTCGAGTTAGGTTCATCGCAGTCGGTGTCGGCAGCGCCCACTCAGCCGCCACCGAACGCTGCCTTTGGCATGCAGTTCCTCTCGGCCTGGTCGGAGTTTTCAAGTGGGTTATTCATCAGGGACAGGGAGAAGTTCGAGGAGTATTGTTCGGATGTGCTAGCAGTAAGTGACAGGCGAATGAGACGGCGAATGAGACGGATGACGATGAGTAAGACTCGTACCACACTTCCTGGAACTCATCCTGAAATGATGCATGAGAGTGTCTGGGTAGGTATCGAGAGATGCAGAAACAAGTAGCATTGCTTCGAGCGCAAGATGGAGAGGATGATAGCTCTTCGGAAGAGGAGGAATCTGTAGGTTCAAGTTGGTTAGATACAAAATAGGTTCGACCGAGGAACACTTTCTCAGAGCGAGGATGAGAATCCTCAAGTTCCGCCGCCTACCAATCTGGCATCTCGTATAGGCCACCGCAACGACTACAAGCAGCAGATGGATGCCGCTGAGAACGCGTTTTATAGCACTCAAATGCCGACCTTCCCGGACGACCCCTCGACTGGTGGACCACAGCAAGCCTCGGCGGCCCCGCCGGACATGATATCTTTCGACAGCCCTGACGTGTGGGGACCAGCTGCTGCTGGTGTAGCGGTGGCTGGGATGGCTGCTGCACAGTATGGGAGCAACGAGGCCCATGGGGGTCGGCAGGCAGAGGGCAATGGTGATAATGTGAATCCTTTCGCGATGGGGACCACGCTTGGGGGAGGCCAGCAGGCTACTGCTGGCAGTGCATTTGAGGCCTTTGATGCACTCACACCAGCCGGGGGAGATCAGACACTCCCACAAGGGTATATCCCTCCACCTTTGGGAGTGCAGGGTACTACTCAACAGGCTTGGTCGACAGGGCCGCAACAGCAGTACTATTATGATTATTATCACCAACAACAGCAACAACCTCCAGTACCTGTGCAAGGACAACAACAGCAGCAGCAGTACCCTACAACTGTACAGGGAGTACCGCAGCACCAACAGCAGCAGTACCCCACCACTGTACAGGGAGTACCGCAGCACCAACAGCAGCAGTACCCTACAACTGTACAGGGAGTACCGCAGCACCAACAGCAGCAGTACCCCACCACTGTACAGGGAGTACCGCAGCACCAACAGCAGCAGTACCCTACAACTGTACAGGGAGTACCGCAGCACCAACAGCAGCAGTACCCCACCACTGTACAGGGAGTACCGCAGCACCAACAGCAGCAGTACCCTACGACTGTACAAGGGGAAGCAGTAGACCACCAGTCCTCTCCTATATCCGTACACGATGCCCCACAGCAGCAGCAGCAGCCTTCTCCTATGTCGGTACAACACGCACCAGCACAAGAGCATTTCATCACTAGTATACCGCCACAACAGGTGACTCCATCACCTATAGGCTCACAACGTGTGATGGGATCCTCCTATATGGTCCCTGGAGCACAGACTGATCTACAGCAACAGCAGCACCATGCCCCTGTGGTAGCTGCATCGGTCTCGTCGGTCCGTCCCAGTAGCAGCCAACAGGCTACTGTTATACAGGGCTCTCCCGTGGCCCCGCAAACATCTAGTGCAGTCTCCTCTTCCTCCTCCTCCTCGACTGCTGTGGTCCCAGGTGTTCCAGCTACTACCACTTCTAGTGTCATCTCATCGCAGTCGGCTCCCTATGGCCAGTACGGCAGTCAGTCGATGCCTCAACAACAGCAGTGGCCGTCGGACGCCAGTGGGAGCTACTACTATTACGGCACAGCTACGAGTGCTACGGATGCCAAAGTGCAGCAGAAAGGGAGGTAGTAGCACATGCGATTTGGCGGAAGTGTGGTATGGCTCTCATGTCTTGTTAGCTCCCCTGTCGCTCCAGCTCATGCGGTGGCAGAACAGAAGCAATAAGAGTAGTTTGTTTTGATGGAAATATATTTATCATAGCGGAGCGTTGTCATCATCATTCGTCGTCGTTTTCCGAGTTTCTTCTGACGATCCGACTGCGTTAGTGAGAGGGTCCTCAATGTTTCCCTTTCAAGTTGGTTACAATTCTGTACAGAAGCATAAGTCTACTATCCAATGAGCCCTATTCCGACTACGAAAAATCCCGATGACTATGATCGCCGAGTGGGAGTGGCAGCCTCTACACTGAGTGATGAAGTGGAAGATGCTTCGGACGTTCCTACTATTTCCCCGTTTATCCAGTCGCCGAGGTCGGAGTCCATGGCCATGTCCTCAGCTGAGCACCCTCGACAGCTGATGTCGTTGCTGCCTGTGCTGTGGCTGCGGCTGAGGAGAGCCAAACGGGCCAGAAGGTGTGTGCGGAAGACGTGTTGGCCTACTTCAGGCGTTATGACCTCGAGAACTTGCTTACTATGATGCTCATCGAGTTGGGAGCTCACACCCCTCGGGATCCTGCTCAGTTCATGTGTGACTACATTCGAGCTAATCTCCCATCGGAGCGGTATGGTGCAGTTGAAGACAATGATTATGCTAACAGTTGCCACCAGGCTGATGAGTTCATGCATCATGATGATGACGACGAGGAGGAGGAGGACCTGGTCCCTCCAGCTCCACCACCACAGTTGGCTATCTCTAGGCATGTGTCTCATCGTTTGAGCCACGACCTCACTAGTACTGCTATAAGGAGCATTGTACTGCGACGGGTGTCCAGACAGTTGGAGAAGGAGAACCCCAGTGTGCACGCGTTCGTTCAGCAGTGGATGCGGCCTGGCATGGGAGGCGGCAGAGGCAGCAGCACCAGTAGTGGTAGAGGGTCGATCAGCGGTGCCTCGAGACGAGCCAGTGACTCGGTGGCTTACCACGAAGCGAGGCTCACTGCTAAGATGTTGGAAGTACCCGTGATGGAGGCTTTAGAGCTGCCAGATTTGCTCAGCTGGAACATCAAGCTCTTCACCTTGGACCGCTCTGAACTGGTCCGGCGAGCTTACAGTGTATTCGACAGGTGGAGTTTCGTGGGGGAGGGTAAACTGGTGGAAGCATCGAGGCTTTGGGGGTTCATCAATCTCATTGCCAACGATTATCATGCGGATAATCCTTACCACAACTTCTACCACGCCTATCAGGTTATGAGCTGCGTGGGTTACGTTATGTTCAATGCGGGGTGCTCAGTGCGCCCGGGCGGCCCTGCAGGGGGGCCTCGGGACGTCATCTGTACGCCCCTAGAGGAGTTCAGTCTGCTTATCGCTGCACTGTGTCATGATGTTAACCATCCGGGCTTCAACAATGATTACTTCATCAAGGGTAGGAAGCACCTGGCTGTTCGCTACAACGACAGTGCTGTGTTGGAGAATATGCATGCTGCTCGAGCCTTTGAGCTCCTACTGGGTGGCGCTGTTGACTTTACTGCAACTTGGCCAGCAGCAGCAGCAGCTGATGAGACTGGCGAGCCCAGCGACTATGAGGTTTTCCGACAGACGGTGATCTCGGTGATTCTGGCGACGGACATGAAGGCTCACTTTGATATTACTATTAAACTACAGGAGTTACTCTTAGACCGCAATGACGGTTCTAAGAGGGCAGCAAGAGAGTGGGTCGATGGGGCTTTGGCTGAGACTAGGCCGACGCTGCTGAAGGGGATTGTTCATGCTGCGGATATATCAAACCCCCTTATGCCCTATGATGAATACTACGAGTGGAGCTATCGTGTTGTGAGCGAGTACTATCACCAGGCGGAAGCTGAGAGGCTCGAGGGGCTTCCCTTCGCGCCGTTTATGGCCCATCGCCCGGATGACGCTGTGGAGCTTGCTAAACTGCAAGTGGGGTTCATCAACTTCGTCGTGAGTCCCCTGTGGAATACTCTTGATGGTCTACTGGACGGTCTGCATGATAGAGTTGAAGTGATGGAGACGAACTTGCAGCGTATGAAGGAAGTCGAGGACCGAGAGCAGGGACGACGGGACTCCTGTGCTGGCCATGCTCAACTAGATGATATCACCTCTGAAGAGGAAGCTGTTGTTGCTGACTGATGCTGCCTCCAAGCTCTTCATATAGTGTCTGGTGTAGTCCTCCTATTAAAAAGTAGGAGCGTCAGTCTTATCCCTTCGTCCATCTATCAACGCTAATCCCCGCTTGAGTCTACATTGACTCTTGTTGCAGCAGGGTTGAAGCTATGAATAGCAAGTGATCAGTTTACTACTCGCCACCGTCAAGGAGGTTATTATTGCTTTCTTCACCGACACTGCCATCATTATCATCATATCAGTTCTATGTGGCTCGCATATCTCCCCCGCTTGCCTCTGTCGGTGTTGGTAGTCTCGGTGTGTTCTCTACCCGGTGACACCCTTCTTCTTATACTATAGTAGTGTCACCATGGTGTTATGGATAGTTCGATTGTAGTAGTCATATAGTGGCTTAGCCTGCTTCTTCTTCGTAGTACTAGTAGCCTATGTATTCACCAGAGCCCCTTCACCTCTTACTACTGGCTCAACGTAATTGTGTTGTATTTCTGTCTAGTCCCCCCCTCCTCTCTAGAAATCATCATAGCAGTATCGTGATGAACTCATTATACTTCCTCATCAATTCTGTTATTGTTATTGCCCGTCGTCGTTGTCGTCTGCTGCTGCAGTCAGCTCTACCGATGATGAGTACTGGTTCCTATCGAAGTTATCACCGGTATCAAACATTAGGAATATCACTATTCGCTTGCCTGAGTCCTCCTGCTACTACTTGTTACTCTTATTATCATTGCTTGTCTTAATACTGATGTTGTTACTGACCTTCCATTGCCTCTGCTATCGTCCATAGCCGCTGTCGGCGATCGTGTAGTGGATGTTCCTCATTATTACTCACCCGTAATCGACGAGGAAGCGTGAGAGCACATCAGTGGCTTGTGTTATAACAACGTTTACTTCTCTTAGTGGTTAGTCTTATGAATCAGACCCCTGCCTCGACGGGGTCGTCACCTCCGGCCAATGGTCAGGGCGCCGCAGTGCCAGGTGAGTCTAGGCGCTAGGAGGGTGCCTGCAAGTCGAGTTAGGTTCATCGCAGTCGGTGTCAGCAGCACCCACTCAACCGCCACCGAACGCTGCCTTTGGCATGCAGTTCCTCTCGGCCTGGTCGGAGTTTTCAAGTGGATTATTCATCAGGGACAGGGAGAAGTTCGAGGAGTATTGTTCGGATGTGCTAGCAGTAAGTGCAGCGGCTAATTGATGCGGAAACATCGCTCCGCTGTAGATTGCTGCCAAGGCCGGCGCGAAGGTGCCAGAGGAGGCGTATGCTCCCATACGTGTAGATCAAGCGGCAACACAGGTGGTCGGAGTTACTGCGTTCGCCTTGACCGTAACGGCTTGATAAATGTTAGGTTGATAGGACTAGTGAGGCGCTTAGGCTGGCACAGCTACGGCAGCTACAGCAACAGCGGTAGGTCTATCTTTTCTGTGTGTTTATTATGTTCATACCACTCCTCGAGGATTAGAATGGACACGGCACGGCGTATTTGATCAGGATGGCTACTGGTCAACAACACCAGCAGAATGTCGCTAATGGACAGCAACAAAGTCAAGGCGTGCCACGGCAATCGGGAGGTGCCAGTGGGAGCTCTACGATTGCACAGAAGATATCTGGCTGTGCTGACATTGCAGAGGCCACTGCAGAGACCCTCGACTGTGACCAACTGCACAGGTGAGAGCGCAAGTTAGGACGATAGGTCGAGGGTTCGAATCCTGGCTATGCCATTTTTTCTCTTCAGGTTCATGGCTTTGACAGTTCTCACCAAGCGTGGGCTGAGCATCCCATTGCTGAACCTCGGCCAGCGACTGATCGGCACGTGGCTCTTAGCTGACTTCTTCAGCAAGAGGGAGCAAGTGGCAGCTTGCCTGATCAGGTGAGTATTCTCAACCATGGGAAAGGACGACTGTGCAGTGGAACCTTATCGATTTCAGTATGGCATCAGAGGGAAGCAAGAAGGCGTCTGTGGATGCTGCTGATAGTAAGGCGTCGACCGGCCTTGCTGAGGGTGGCGCCACTGCAGAGCATGCAGCAGTGGAGGGGAAGGTGGAGGAGGGAGAGGAGAAGAAGGACGATGTGGAGATGACGGATGCAGAGGAGAAAGATGGCAGTGGGGAGAAAAAAGAGGCGGAGCGAAGCACACCATCGGGCGCGGAGGCATCGGTGGTCAGTGATGATTTGGATGTGACCACTCGGGCAGCTTTGAATGATGTACTTGCTTACTTGAAGTCACAGGGAATGAAGGTAAAAAAATAACGAGTGTGGGTGTTGAACGTGGGTCGGTGGCGATGGAAAGGAGGCTCCTAACCACTTGAGTAATTGGAATGTTCTCTTAGTGGGAGAAAGAGTATGCTGAACGATTTGCGGAGTATCTGACTACTGCAGATGGCAACCTTTTCTGTCCGCGATTCATGAACCGGGATAATGTAAGATGGCATCCTCCTCCTCATTTGAGTCCATCATCCCTACCCCAAACCTAGGCTGGATCAATGTCCGTGCTCCTGAATAACACAGCTGATTCCACTTTTGACGAGAGGTTCATCCTCATACCTAACGCCAAGACTTTTTGCCAGACATTCTGTTATGCTGCAACGTGGGCGCCTCTAACGGTAAGTCACCTTATGGCTGGGTCTCGTATGTAGGCACTCCCCTTAGGATCTCGAACGTAACCTCTCGTGCCTTGTTTTTGGTGATGCTAGTGGGAGTCCGGGTGCAGTGATCGTCCACCCTGCTTTTGCTCGAAGCCCTAACGATAAACGGCCCCAGTCGGCGGGGTAGTTGTGGATGAGGTTGGTCGTCGTAGTTGACGTCGCGTTTCCTTAGGAGACCACCACAAGCACTGATGGTAGCATGCAATGACGGGACGGGGAAGTTCAGTCAAGCGGCTGGTAGGCTGCTCATCGTGCCTTTGCTTGAAAGAGGGAAGGCTTCTGGTCGTAGTTATACAGTGGGTCGCGAACTCGTCAGCGGCGTGGATGCGGTATGCTAAGGAATGTAGAGAGAGTATGAGCTGGATTCCGAGAGAGCTTACTGGGGTTATATTAACAAGGGTAGTGCTAACATATGGGCTAGTTGTATTATATATAGTCGTCTATCGAATATCGTTTATATCTAATGTATTGTTATTCTATTATTATTATTAGTATATGCCCTATATATTATTATTAAGATTGTATACCATATGATGATAATATTATCCATTAAATAGATCGAGATAGAATGGTTTCATGCAAGGTTCTGCAGCCTCAGCCCGCGGCAACTCCAGCCTCGACCACGCCTGGGCCAAGGGCTGCTCTAGTTGCTCAACTACAGCAGATGGGCTCGGCTGCGGCGATGGCTATGCTACAGCAGCAGGCTGAGGTGGCCTTGAGGGGAGAGCCTCGACAGCAGATCCCTGTACGTCACCAACCACCTAGAGAAGCATCTAGAAGGAGTCGAAGGATTAGTGAGGCACTTGCTGGGGTATGCTGACGGTTATGCTTGTGTGATTAGATGACGAATCGTCGGAAAGCGAGAGTGAGGCGAGCAGCAGTAGTAGCGATTCGGAGTCTGAGGATGAGAGCGCAGAGAATAAGCGTCCGCAGAGTAGTGGGCGCCATTCGTATGGTAGGAAGAAACATAATAGTGATGACGAGGAGTGGACCGGATGAGTTCCTGTGAGGAGGCTTGTAGTCGGTGGCGATAACTCTGCATTGCATCTACTGTTGTACATTATATGGCTGAATTATATATTTTCTCTTTGACTGGTATGGTATCGGCGTTCGAGGGAAGGTCGACTTGGTGTGATGGATAGTTTGATTGTTCGACTGCGTGGTGTGTGCCCACCAGCCTCTGCTAACGTATTCTCGACCCTGGTTCGATTCCCACGCCTGTCGATATGGACAACATATTTCCGGATGATGATGAGACCACAGCAGTGGAACCTCCGACAAAGCCGGTGAAGCCCATGAAACGGAAAAGAGCAGAGGAAGAAGGTAAGACGGGTACGTGTCCTTCCGTATCGCCACTGAAAGGGGGCACACCTTGGGAGTTTGCCTCGAGGGCGACATTGATTTGAATGCCTTGTTGTTTCCCGAAATATCTGTTTCGTATATGGTCAATGTGGAGTTTACAATGTGAAACAAACCGTTATGCAATGAATATTTTCAACACCTTCAATTTTCGAGAGTTCGAAAGTCAACAGGCTAACAATGTAAATCTGTGGACATCACCGGTTTAGCAGCGTTTCGTAGTCTATAGTCGTATTCCCAAATTGGAGAAAGCCATCTTGGAAATCTAGATATGCATAACTGTTCGGTTCGCACTGTAGGGATGCGTTATTCGGTTTAGATGCCTCCTCCTCCTCGTCATCTTCATCATCATCAAGTGATGAATCGTCGTCATCATCATCATCGTCTGACTCGGATTCTGATTCCTCTGAGTCTGAGGAGACCCCTACTCCAGCCAAGAAGAAGGCTCGGCCATCATCAGCTGTAGAAGTGGTGCAGCCAGGGGAGGAGTCGGAAAAGGCGATGTGGGTCGGGGAGCATTGTCTTATTTTGTGCGGGCGTAGGTCCGTACGCGTGCGTCTATGTGTACGTATGTGTACGCACAGTTTCCGATCAGCAGATGAGTTTCAAAGTTGGAGTTCGATCAGAGTGGGTGAATTTTGACGTTGAATAGGTACGTGGCTGCAACTGGCGAGGGCGATCAGAAGGAGTTTGTGTGGCGCGTGACGGATGACGTGAAGGTTAAGGCTAAGTTATGGAAGGGCATGGTGTTTATGGATATAAGGAAGTAGTAGATTTTTATGCAACTCTCACAGCAGCAATTTTCTGTAATTGACAGGTATTTCGATGAAGGTCGCAAGCCCACACAGAAAGGTGTCTTCCTCAACGTTGAGAAGTACGAGAAAACAATGGCACGGCAGGAGATGGTCACAGCCGCTCTAAAGTCAGTTTTGGGAGGCACTCCGCTGTGGCTCTTACATTCAGAAAAATATGTATTGAATTTCGTGAATTCTACTTGCTCTTTTGCTGAACCAAGTAGAACTTGTGTTGTTGTCTTGCAGTTCTCCAATATTCGTCATTAGCTATAGCACGCATACTCTAAGTGTGGTCAGTCGACTTTTGTTAATATCCATCGTCGACACCGCGACTAAGTAGACGTTGTTGGGTGAACTATGAGATCAACCAGGAGCAACAATAGTAGAAAGAGTATTTCTGATAGTAATCGCGTGCGGGAAGAATCTCCGAATAGTTATAAGGTGGAGCTTCCCTTTGTCGGGCGTAAGTGGTTTGTAGCGAAATGATACGTCTCAGATGGCTGGATGAGGGTGGTCGAGCTAAGTCGCCGGTCCTTACGGGAGTGCTTCGCAATGATTCCACTTTCATCGACCCCGACGGTGCTATTATCATGGAAATCGATAAGGGCCTCAAGTTGAAGGTGTAATACTACGTCATCATCACTTCTCGCTGGCCATGGGGACGAAATTTCTTCATGTCAGATATTCGTTCAAGGGCATGTACTTAGTTGACATCCGCTCGTACTTCAAGTAAGGAATTGTGTGTTCCTCGTGAGGGGAGCGATTGGTGATCTCAGGGGCAACGCTACGAAGAAGGGGATTAGTCTTAAACCCGACGTGTATTTCAAGATTGCCAATTGGACAGATTGGTCGAAAGCGGTAAGATTTGGTCGCGTCGCGCTTTCCGCATGCCCTTGCTATCTTTAGGTTGCTGTCGTTAAGAAGGTGAATAATCTGCCAGTGAATTGAAGGTAAATGATGATGACGTTGCTTGCTTTCGTACGGTTCGATTTCGGCCTGTTCTATCGAACTGCTGTGTTGTTAGAACTAGTTTCATCATGGTCAAATCGGTGCCGCCTACAGTTGAATTAGAATACTGGGAGGGTTTTGTGCATGGGGTGTTCAGTTCCTCCTCCGCCCGGATCACTTCGTGCGTCTTTGCTAACATGAGCCGCTCGCTCGTGGCGAGCGAGTATCGTTGATAATGTATTCGCTGTGAGAGGCGTCGGATTACCGCGCGGCAAATACTTTACTTCTTGACGGAGTTTGAGACGGAAAAGCTACGGTGTTGAGGTAACGAGAAGTTAGAATATGCTGTCCTTGGGTTCCGATTGTGTTATGTACGTTGTACAGAACGTTAGAGTGCGTGAACCGCATTCATCATTGACAGCAAGAGGCCGTCAAGACTTGAAACTCATGGAGCGGAAAAGTTATAGAATTTACCGTTCAGATAACTGAGAGTCACCATTAGGGAGAAGTCTCCACTGCCCGTTTTCTAGCCGTCTCACCTGGTGACGCCTTATCATCTCTAGCCTACAAACAAGTCGGCCAATCGTCATCACTTTCCTCCATGATGAGATATACCAACTGAAGCATGAGATTATACTCGTGCTCCTCGTCATCGTTCCCCGGAAGAGTACATCGTCGTACACAAAACCTCCTCAGCCGAGGAACTTGCAATTGGTATTCCGCCCTCTTTCCCTTGGTGGTTGTTGAGCAAACTTACGCAACAGGTTTCCTCGCAAGCAACAGGTGTGTTAATAGACAACGACAGAGCGGCGTCAGGGTTGTCACCTGGCAGGCTGTTCCTAGTCTGGGGGCGAATGCTAGGCTGCAGAGCACTGAAGCCGCGCTCAGGGTCGCAAGAGCCGCTGCCGCTGAGGACTCGATTTCCATAACCGTTGTGTAGATATTCAAATTTGCGTCACCGCTCTATCTCCAACAGGACCTCCTCGTTGTAGATGCGATCTGATGTATCTTTTGGTAGATTCAGGAAGTCTAACAAGACCACAACAACAGCTCTGCTGTCTCGCGACCATGAATGTTCCTCACTGAGGAATCCTCAGGCCCACATACCGTGACTGGCCTCTTGATCTGACGAACCGTGGAGAATGATATGTTTCATCACGGGGATGCCAGTTGATTCATCAACGAGTCATAGATTACGACTAACCCGAACTTATCACCACTAAGAAATATCTTCAAATCACTTGATTGTATGGGATTTGCCACCTGAGTAAACTGCCAACCATAGTTGACCGGAGGTCACTATTTGATGAGCTTGAGCCCTTGCTTGTTGATTCA